GGGGAGGAGGGGGAAGGGGAGTTTTTCATATTAGTTTAATTAAATTAATTAAAAAGTCTAATATTAACAAAATTATAGGGGGAAAAAAGTTTTTAAAATCATGTGGGGAAAAGTCTCTTTCGGTTTTGGGTTTCGGCCAAGGGCATCCCGAATTGTCGGTTTTAGCCCTGAATTTTCGGTTTCGGTGCATCCCTAATATTAGCTCTTTGATTTCCACAGAACTGACCACAGGCAGTTGAGTGATTTATAAATGTCTTTATAACGATGGCATTATTTTACCTTATACCATGTTGCTATTATGTATGTTGTTTGTTGAGTATCATTAGGTTAAGTGTTTTGGGGTTGTGGAGCAGAGAGAGAGGTTTATTTCTTAAATTTTGCTTTACATTGCATTTTTCATGATTATAAATGCATGGATGTTGTGGGAGATATATTTATCTACTGTATCATTGAGTTTGTATGATCCAATGTTAATTGTTGCACTTGAGTATTGGTAGATGAATTCTAAGCTTTATCATTAAACTCTTCTTGTTTGTTCACAGAAATACCAGATATTGTGAATGCAAAACATCTGAACTTTTTCAGGTAAGCGTATTAAACTCCATTGTGTAATGCGGTCGATCAAAAAGAAATGGATGATAATGCAAATTGCCATCACAAAGGAGTGACACATAATTTTCTCAAAGTAGGGGCTAGCCCTGTATTTTATTGGATGTATTTGAACACTTATGAACTCAACCCACAAAGGGCATTGTTTTTAAATGCAAGAAAACCTAAAAATTAAAAGAATAATTATATTATCACTTAAATCATTCCATGAATAAATTGCTTGAAACACAAACAAAAATTATGAAAGATAAATTATACATTCACCTAACAAAAAGCTGTGTAGTGAATATTTGTATAGATTTATTGAAGGATTACTCTGACCACTACAATGATTTTAAGTGGTCATGGTGGTGGTGAATGTGCAGTGATTCAGCTTTAAAACACTGCACAAACCGATATATTGTTAACTGTGTGACAGGGGCTAGTTGCACAATGTCAATTATGTGCACATTTTACATCTGTTGTCAGTGCTCCTTCTCCTCCCTCCTGCCTCCCTTCATTCAAAAATTAGGAGAAATTTTCCTTTCTGCTTTCTCACCCTCTCCCTTGCCTTGCTGAATCAAAGTGTGCAAATGTGCTCTGAGCTAACGAATCGGTCCAATCACAGTCTTTTTTTTTTTTTTTTGAGAAAATTGAAAGGTCTCAATTTCCTTCAAAATCCTATTTTTTAGGAGTTATATTAGTATAAATGTGTTCACTGTTTTATAGGTAATCATAAATATGGAAAATAATATATAATGATATCTTTGGGATCTTAGAGAGTGCACATGTACCATGATTCTCCATCTGGAAGGATTAAAACTTTTTGCCCACATGTTTAACCCCTTAAGAACTGAGCCAAATGTACACATTTTGATCAAATTAAAACGTAAACAAAACTTGGAATTTGACTATATGTCTGTTCAACTGTAACTCACCTCTGTCATATTAAGTGCACCCACACTTACTATATATAATTTTATTCAGGAGAAATAGGGCGTTCATTTAACATCAAATATTTAGCTATGAAACATAATTTAAAATGAATAAAATATTTTAAAAATTGAGAAATTAAGAAACAAAAATATTTTTAGTTCTGCATGACATTTTAACTGTGAATGTCATAATACTGTTGCTGTCATAATATCCATCTTCACCCAGCGAGGGCGCGGCGCAGGCTGAGCTCCGCAGGGCAGGGAAAAGCTTATAAAGCCTTCCCACGCCCTGCAATTAGGCTCAGAGTGCTAAGACAGGTAAGCCTCTAAATTTACCTGTTACAGCTGATTGGTTGGCTTGAATATCAAACAACCAATCAGTGAGTTATTGTAACATATTCATCCTCAGCAGCCACAAGTCAGTGTACCTGACTCCTGTAACATGTTAGTGGACGCCGGCCACTGCGGATCCACGCCAAATTATAAATAAATGAAATTCCCGTTTGCATGCCCAAGTGTTTAACTGGGCATGCGCGGGAATTTCACAACGCTATCTAGTGTGGTCAGATAACGTGTCCCACAGGGACTTCATCTACCCACATAAAGATGGCGGTGCCCAGGACCTAGGTCCAGGCACAAAATAAAGATGAAAAATTAGGTAAGCTGGGGGGCTTAGGGCATTTTGGGTGTGACTAGGGCGACAATTAGATGTAGTGGAGTCGGCCATGACAGTGCCACTTTAAATTGCTATTTGTGTCAAAAAAATCAACGATTTTTTTTTTTTTTTAATTTGGCATAGATTGGTGGTAAAAGGGTTGCATGAAAAGTCAAAATACCCCAAGTTTAATACCTTTGTCTTCTTTTAAAAAATATATACATGTGAAGGGTTAATCAGTGATTCCTGACAGATATCAGTGTTATAATGTAACTTAATTACATTGTAATTACATTGCGTTAATTTTGGGGGAAGAATTGATTTGGAAATAGTAAAGTGCTACTTGTACTCATAGAGATCTTTTCTTATAGAAATCAGCACTTTTCTAAACTGGGCTTAAATTAGGGTAATTCTTACCCATAAAGCACTTCAGCAAGCTGAATGGTCCTTTTTGAAATGTGGTAGTTTTGTTCTCATAAGCATCTACTTAAAGAAGTACTATAGTGCCCCCCCCCCTCCGTGGTGCAGAAGGGGTTAAAAGTGCACTAAGATTGATGATCTCAGCCACGGAGGTGGGACCAGGCAGGACCAGTCACTGGAAAACCGGTACGGCATGGAAGTAAGATCACCCTTAATCTCCAGACAGAGGGTGGTCAAGGACTTAATGCTGCATTCCAACACTGTAGTACACAGGATTACATGTTTATATTCCTGACACTATAGTGTTCCTTAAATAAAAATAATCTGAAAAAACCCACTGTCTTGTAAGTAGTATGCCAAGATAGTGAGAATTTCCAATTATTTTTATTTTTTCTCCTTTTTGGTAATGGGGTATGATTGTGATTATGTTCAGCAGTGCCTAGAACTTAATTGCTTGTTCCAGCCTGGTATCTAGAAGTTATACACTCAGGCTTGGTATGAAGTATAATGCTTTGAACACGGTCTATAAGTTGAATCTCACAGACTCTAGGGTTCTGATTTGAAACCAATTTGTGTTTCCTCTGTATTAGAAAAAATAATTTTATTCTGCTGTTATATTACATCCCTAAAGCACAGGGAGGAACGTCATTTCCAAGAAAGGGTTTCATTAGTTCCAGGTTGACATAGGTTAATTAACTTGGTATTTTATAGGTCTTGATACTTATTTTCGACCTGACATTCTGTTTCTCAGGGGTGGTCCCTCTGATTGAATACCATGAGGTTACTGATTAGCAGCCTCAAGAACAGGAGTAGGTAACCTTTGGCACTCCACATGTGTGGACCACATCTTCCAAGATGCTTTGCCAGCATAATGGCTGTAAGAGCAGCATCAGAAACATAGTCCACAACATCTGTAGTGCCGATAGTTAACTACCCCTGCTCTATATAGTAAGTATATAGCAGTCTAGTGCTTTGTCTGAGGAGATATAGTGTTAATGTCCTATTGATTATTCAGCTGGCTATTTTGAAAATGTTTATTAGATTTATTTTATATTAGCTATATCTGAACTCAGCCACCCCAGTGTATACCACTTTAGTTTTAGCTGTTGGTTAATGCCGTCATGGGGTAGTAAACAATCAGGAAAACGTGTTTTATGACCATTGTTTTTTTTGTTTTTTTAACAATCACCATGAATGCAGTATGTTCCCACCCTCCTCTTATGGTAGTTGTGGAGCTATTGACAAGGATTTCTCTGTGGAAATTATAAACCACATTTTATCCAGATTTTAATTTGAACTGAAGCAATTTACAGAAGAATGAAGCCAACCTTAAAAAAGGTTAAATACCTGACTGTTTGTTTATTTTTAGTTCTTTTGTCAGCTCTGCAGTGTAAAAGGAATGTTAGCATATCTGAATTATTTAGATTCTGTTTTCTCATTTTCTTAACAAGTTTTCACTTAAATTTCTGTATCAGCTTTTCCTATGTTTCTTATCTCACCCTGGTGAAATACAGCAAAGAAGTTTAAAAGGCACTGCTTAACCTTTATTATTGTTATACAAATAAATAATTTCATGCATCTACATGTGGAAAATACTATTATGTTTCAGAAGCACGATTCACCTTACGCAAGTGTGTGTAATGTGCCGATGACAACCAGGTCACTTCTGTCCTTCAGCATTTTATTGAGGTTTCAATGAAATGGAATGCTAGATATGTCAGTAAATTGACTTGCAGTTTCGAAATATGTGTTACCTTCTTTACCTTCTTTACTTTGCTCTATTCATGAAAAGGGTAAGTGAAGAGGGTTAACTGGAAAATGAGGCAGGTAGAAGATATATTTGAAATTGCACTCCCACTCGCTCCACTCTTATTTTGGGTCTGCAAGGTCTTAAGTGGTACATGTCTCTTGGCTATTGTATAGTCACAGAAACTTAACAAACAAATGGTTGCTGGGAAAAAAATGAAAAACAAAACGGTTACAACACAATACAAGACCATGATATTTCTAAATCATAAAAGGCTTCTGTGTAAGATACATGTTGTTCATTCAAGAGCAATCTATTGCTATTGTAACCATGCAAAACATGTGACAAAGTACATTTTCCAGTTATGCTTCAAGGTCATATTTGTGATATGTTGGCTCCAAATGGATCATTTAGAATAATAAACCAATGTTTTTTTGTTTTTGTTTTTGTGTTGCATGATGAGTTCTGCAAGGCCATTTTATTTTTATTTCATTCCTCTTGGAAAATATAAGATGTCTATAAAGTGATTTTAAATATTAATTTAATTTGTAGTGTTTCTTTCTTTATTTTTTCTTAGCTCCTTGACCATCTAATGCCATTATTTACTTATTAGAACAAAATTGTAAACTGAAAAAAAAATCACTCTAAGACTGTGCCTGTAGGGACGTACTATACCCACCTGAACTATTCCATTAAGCTGCAGTTGTTCTTTAATACTAATATTTTGCTATAAAAAGACACAATTAATCAACATTCTAATAGGGTATACACACAAGTTAGTTAGGATTGAGGGGCAATATTAGGGAATATGTTGCATGTTGAAATAAAAAAAAATTGTACTAGAGGTGAATTTATATGGTAGTGGCTTAAAGGATCTATATATTATAATTACACTTTCCTTTATCTGTTTAGATTTTAGTGCTGCCCCCTTTTGTTTTCGTTAAAAAAAATAAAAATCCTTTGAAATAGCCATTAAACTTGGCTGTAACCCAGCACCAAGAAAAGATCAGTGCAGCCTGATCTTCTTGTGGAGTCCTAAATCTTAATGACTTTGTCCAATGAAAATGCTTCTCACAGGAAAGCAATGAAATACACATAGTTTATGAATCCACCAATCCAGTGTTTTCTCTACTATGAGAAAGATGTGGAAATTGCAAATTATAAACCGTGTCATGCTTACTAGCTATATATTAATGGCTTACTAGGAAGCATGGTGGTATCTTTGTAACACACTGAGGACCTCTTTGGTTCTGTACTGAGTTGTCAACAAAAAGTACCAACCCCGCACCCCCCCAAAAAAAATATGGGGGGCACTAATTTTACTTGCAATACAATTGTAATGCTACTATTATCCATAAAGGGCATTATATACAGTGTTATTCACTAAAGTGAGAATTTAAGGTGAATTAAAAGGGAATTTTCAAATTTAAGAAATAACCAAACTGGTAAATTTCTATAACTCCGCTAAACTTTCCATACGTAAATTTTAAATTCTATTTGAATTCACCTTGAATTCACACTTTAATGAATAAACCTGTTAATCTCTCCCTGCTGGTCCCTGAGGCTACTTTGTGAGCAATTAAACTTTCTCTTATTCTCTCATGCGTGGCAAAATTGGAATAAATTTCTTACTTTGTCTATGTGTCATGCCATGTACAGACAGCAAATACGGTGATATAAAATTAATGAGAATAATTGCATGCTCTAGTCCTCCATCATTGACATAGAAATATGATCACCTGCTGGCAGATGGCCACCATCCTCCTAACCACAAGTGATAGTGCATACCAAAAAAGAGAAGAACTAGAAAAAAAAATCCCTCTTTTGTATAACATGTATCTTTTAGTCATACTTATTTACACAATGTGTAAATATCCAGAATGGATATTGGTTACAATTGCTAAAATCTCAGCTCTAGACCAAAAAGATATTCTATATAGAATACATTGGTTAAAGTGTATAGCTGTCAATTATCTGGTCTATTGTGAGTATCCTTAATCAATATAGGTGTAGTGAAGAAATGTGGGCAGGGATTGTGTTTCTGGGGTAAAAATCTTGTTAGAAAATTAAACAAACCGCTAAAACAGACCTAAAGAGATATAAGAGAAGGTCTTATAAACACATAACTGATGGTGCAAAATAACAGAGGGGTATGTTCCTTAAGCAGGGATTCCCTTAAGCAGTGTTTCTTGAGCTTAAGATGTATTCAATTATATAAAGTATATAGATAGTAAGTGGGGACAACCTTAAATACATGCCTTAAAGAGCACCCCTCTAGAATTCCACACCCACTTAGCCTAAACTGGATACAAGTCCATAATCTTAATTAGCCAAGAGCAATTATGAAAAAAGCAAAGCCAGTTTTACTGGTGTGGTCCAAGTCCATTTTAAATCAGTCAATGTGGATAAAACGATCATGGCTTTTTTTTTTTTTTTTTTCTAGTTCTTTTTTTTAATGTAATTTTAGTTAGAAGGGGTTAACCTCAATGGTGGGATTCAGCCGGTTCTCGCGAACTTGTTATTAACATTTAGCAAGTTCTCCGAACAGTCTGCGAAACCAGCCCCCACCAGGAGCGCAAAAAAGTTTCCATAAGAGAACCGGACGCTTACTAAGCCACCTTGCACTCAGCGTAAGAACACTGGGTGTTACGTGTCTACCTGATGCTCAGTGTGAAAGAGGCAGAGCACGCCGGACAGCGAGGGGCCCTTCCCCTGCCTAGACAGGTAAGCAGGGAGGGGTCCCATGTATCGTTAGGTAATTCTTCCCCAACTGGCTGCCTGCCAGTTGGGGAAGAATTGAGGAGAGACAAATCGATGTGATGGTGTAGGGGAACATGGATAGAATGTGTAGGAGGACATGGAGAGGAAGGGGCATAGATGGAAATGGTAAGTAGACATGGAGGGGGGACATGGATAAATTTGGTAAGGGGACAATGATGAGGACTTGGAGAGAAGGGGGATATGGATGGAATTGGTAAGGGGACATGGAGGTGAAGGGGAGACATGGAAGGGAGGGATACATGGATGGAAGAGGTAGCAGTGCATATAGGGGAGGGGAATGGGGGATGTCACCATCCCACACACACACTCACTATCACCACAAATTGCCACACTGTCACTCTCACTGGAGGCAGAGAGGCTAGTGGTAGAGAGATGGCACACACAGGCTAAGGGCAGAATAGCATTGGTAGGCAGTTTGGGGGCACATGTGGCTCATTGGCATGATATACACATTTTATGACTTTATTGTTCTTTGGCATGACATAGCTAGTTTATGTATGTATGTATTGCTTCATTGGCATGATATGCCAAGTATATGCGCTTTCCATTGGCATGATAATCAAAGTTATGTATTTATTGACAAATTGCAAATAGAGTGCACAATTGAAAGTAATTAGAATGTGAAGAGAGCTCTAAACACCTTTGTGTGGTATCCCCTAAACCACCTCTACAAATATGCAAAACATACATACATAAGGTGGAGCTGGTATACATCTGTAAAGATAAAACAAAACAATGGAGCAATATTGCCAGTAGAAATGTTTAAAGGTTATGAAATTTGGAGTGTCACTCACAAGTAAAGTAGCCTATATTGCCAGTAACGTTTACACATTTGTACTGGCAATATTGCACCATTGTTTTGTTTTATCTTTACAGATTTATACCAGCTCCACCTTATATATGTATGTTTTATGTATTTATTGCGCATTGCATAGTATACCTATTTTTTTATATTCTGCTCATTGGCAAGATATACAAAGTTTATGCATTTAATGCATTAAAGGACCACTATAGTGCCAGGAAAACATACTAATTTCCTGGCACTATAGTGCCCTGAGTGTGCCCCCACCCTCAGGGACCCCCTCCTGCCCGGCTCTGGAAGGGGGAAAGGGGTAAAAACTTACCTTTTTCCAGCGCTGGGCGGGGAGCTCTCCGCCTCCGATCCGCCCCGTCGGCTGAATGCGCACGCGCGGCAAGAGCTGCACGCACATTCAGCCGGTCGCATAGGAAAGCATTATCAATGCTTTCCTATGGACGCTGTCGTGCTCTCACTGTGAAAATCACAGTGAGAAGCACGCAAGCGCCTCTAGCGGCTGTCAATGAGACAGCCGCTAGAGGCTTTGGGGGAAGGCTTAACCCATTGATAAACATAGCAGTTTCTCTGAAACTGCTATGTTTATTAAACAATGGGTTAACCCTAGCGAGACCTGGCACCCAGACCACTTCATTAAGCTGAAGTGGTCTGGGTGCCTAGAGTGGTCCTTTATTAGCCTTCCCTTTGCCCCCAGGAGATAGATATAGACATATCTATATCTATATATATATATATATATATGGGAGGGGTAGAGATATATTATGTCTCTCTCTGCCGGTGGAGTGTCTTCGACCCAGGCAGTATATTGTCTTGGGCCAGTCCTGTGGAGTCGAAAACTTATGAAAAGTCAGAACTGGCTACTAAAATATTTGAATACCACTACTGGTTAACCCCTATAATGTTTCTAGCCTGATACTCTCTCCCTGACTTTATCTGTCCTTGTTGAAGTTATTCACAATTGACACACACACATTATCTGAGAAACCAGCCAGATGCTTCCACAAACTGTATAGGCTGATGCAGTGCATTTCCTCAGCCTTTTTGAAAAAGTAAAAGCAATCTTAAAGATAAATATTTTTTATCATGCCTACATTGATTTTGTCATACATACTAGAATCTATCAAAACAAGAACACGGAACAAGTGAAAATATAGGCGCTAGTACTATTGTCTAAGAATAATACAAATATTAATACCAAGAATCTTATTAAAAGAAGCTTCACCTTAAATAGTGTTAAGCTCAAAACAACACACAAACTATAAAAACTCCAAAATTAGGTGCGCTGTGTCTTTAAGACAGTTACATAAAGTGCCACAAGTGCTGTGCAACATGTGATTTATATAAAGTGAAAAACATAATTAATTTACATATACTGTGCACAAATGTGTATAAATGAGATGAAATATGCAAAACACTCACTTATACGTATATATATAAGTCCTCTCCAAATACCATAAAAAGGAGAGAAAAACAATAATAGTGTAAATCTGTTACATAAAAAACACAAATGATAACCTGTAAAGTGTTCACTCACAAAAGTAGATCTGATGAAGCCGTGAACATGGCGAAACGCGTCATCACGCTGACCACGTACCACATAAGAGCACACATTTGGGAAGTTTGCAGTGTGGTAACTCCGCCCCCCAGGAGTCTTTGCCTGCTGCGTTTTCGGCTTCTCACAGGAGAAACTAGCCGGCACTCATACTGTGACTATTGAACTGGCATTTCTGCTATACGGAGGAAAGGAGGAGTAAGCTGCTAACATTTGTGCAATAAAATTAGGGATTATTCTAGCCTCGGTGAGGGAATAATCTAAATTTTATTAAAGACAGGAGGCGAATATTTGCTTTACCTTCTTTACTGAAACCTCCAGCAGCAAAGAAACAGTTAACAGAACTTTTCAAACAACCAATCAGAACAAAGCAACAGTAGTATAAAACCCCTAAGCAGGCTCTTCCACTTCCTCTTTCTTTGATGAGGTCGAGCAGGAGAGCAAGGAAACCAACGAATCCACCTTGTAGCAGACACATCCAGAGAAACAATCGTCAAGCCCAGAGAGAAAACAGATTACACTGCAAGAAAACAGAAAACATTGTGAAAGTAAACTGTCAAGGCAAGATGTCATATCCATACAATATCACTTTCACATCATAATACCTGATGAATAAACAAAGTCTACAGATCTTATGAAGACCTAGTATGTACCTAAGCTAAAAAAAGGCATTGACGAAACATAATTACAACACAAACATGATGAATAAATCGCACACGGACAACCATCACTGAATATTAGAAATAACCTTTATTATGTAAAACCATGCATTCACAAAACATAACAATATCCCCAATTATTTATAATAGAATAAAACCCAGATCCAGAAGGGAACGTAAAAAAAGGGGGGGGGGGAATATTCGCCTCCTGTCTTTAATAAAATTTAGATTATTCCCTCACCGAGGCTAGAATAATCCCTAATTTTATGGCAGGACAGGAGGCTTCATATTTGCAATTTTAACGCCCAAATAGTAGAACCAGAAGCAATATGAGATAGAGGACTGAAATAAAGGAGAATGGAAAAACTGATTCCCTAAACCAAGCAGCGGTGTAGAGAAAATGCAGAAGGGACCCAACGGCTTCCAAAATTGTTGAGGTGACAGCACCCCGAACCAAAAGTGTCCCAGAGGAACTCAAGGTCAGTCAATGAGAGGATCCACCAAATCCAACGGGCGAGCGAAGATGCAGAAACAGTCCAAAACGGCCGTACGCAGAAATAAACAGCTGTCCATGAGTAGACGGACGAAAGAACCAGATCCTGGATCTACATGGTCGTGTACAATCTGTCAACAGAGCTGTGGCCTATCCGGAGAATAGGGGTACGACACAGAGGACGAATAAAAATGAAATATGTGTTGTGCAGAAGCCGATGTACTGAACGGCAAGAAGGAAGAAGACACGTCGATACCATGACGTCAGAACGCGATGAAATACAAGATGTACTGGGGGGAAACCGTAAGCGGAAAAAACTGTCGAGAGATAGGGCTCCCGTACGGTATACTCCTCTTGGTAGACTGCAGACTAAGAGATCCTTAGCAATGCCAGAATCTTGAGAAAACACACGAGTCGTCCACTAGCTGACATAGGACGTGAATGGCCCCATACGATCCTACCCTGAGAGGGCAACTCAGCCAGACAATGGGGACAGCCATGATAAGGACCGCCATTGGGACCCAAACACAAGTCGTGGCAGGCTACCCCTGTGGATCCCACAAGGGACATTAAGAGACAGGGAGTCGTAGATTGCCTTCCCATGGCAAACTCCAGCAAAAAGGGGAAAGCACGCAGGACTCCTCCGAAGTGGTTTGGCCAGGCGAAACGACACTTCCAGGAATTCGGTCTGAAGCAAAACCCAAAGTATCCTGTAGGTAAACGGGATGCGTACGCCCCGAAGGAGACCAAGCTTGGAAAACTCGTCCCTCGCCTCGCTGAGGGTCCGGCAGCCAGTTGGAGAACCGCTCCATATGGCGGTTCGCACCGAATGTAATCATGCCAGTACTCGAGACCCTGGAGGGTGAGGCAACCAATCATTGGGGTCTCTCCATGGCCGGGTGAAGCCGTCCACCACACAAGTGTCTGGTCCCGCATACATTCTGTCACAAATGACGAATACTTGTCCAGAAGCTATAGATAGCGACCCTATGTGAGATCCGACTGCAGTCCGTAGTGGGCAACCGGTGAGAAGTCCATGCCGGAAGGTAGCGAGCAATACTGTGAATGTTGAACAAACCTGCAGGTAGTTCCATGCAGTTGGCGTAAAGGAGTCCCTCCTCCGGAGTCATCAATTAAGTCTTAGATGAGCTTCATCCGATTTGGTCATACCAGGCCAAAGACCCGAGAAAGCGCCATGTTGGAGCGGCTGATAGTACCGGATCCTTGAGGTATGGCTTCCATGGCAAATAGGCACCGGTCAATTAACCGGGTTGGGCCCCTAAGTGTAACCCGCAGGTTGCGAAGCATATACCTGGTATTTTCCTTGAAGACGGACATCTTGGTCCTCGGGAGGCGGAGCACCGCCTGGACCGAATATTCCATGAAAGACCGGAAACTGGGTTGACTTGGAGTGAGTCAGATTCAATATGTCCATGTTGATGGCAAAATCCATGCGGGTTTCTCTCATGTGCATTTGAGGGAGAGAACCAATCATCAACGCCGAGCAGCTCTCAGAGGGGATGAGTGCTCTCCGTCTCAAAATGTGTCAACAGACGACATGCACTGGGAGCATGTAGCGTGGGGATGGGGCGGGAGTCCACTCCACCGCACCCTTTGCCCAACAGGGCAACTGCGGAATGAGTCGGAATGGATGCCTCTTTTGGTCATGCGTATCGCTCATGGAACGGTCCAAGGTTCTGCAACCTTGATCTGGAGTCCGGGCACGGCCAGAGAGACCTCTGGGGCTAGTTAAGGGGGAACCCTATGAATAGAGACATGTCGGCTCAATTTGTACACGAGGGTAACTCCGGAGAGCAGACCCAGCACTTGGATGCTAAATCCATCAGTTTGATGTCCAGCTTGGACAGGGGCCATTTTGCGGTTCTCAGGGGTAGAAACCAACTAAGCGATACCTATAAGTCATATCGGTCCATTCCCAGTGGGAATTTAGTCTTCTCCGCTTTCCAAGCGGTAACGTGCCGTTCGTCCCAAGGAAACATCTGTGTCCGCGTGTCACCGACATCCACTGGTTAGTCCCAGATAGAGTGCAAACCCCGTGTCAGGTGTTTGCGGTGTCCTTTCCGGACTCCGTCATGAAGACTGATCCTCTTGATGAATCCATCCGTTAGCCAATGAGTACCAGGGGTGCTTGGTGTAGCGTCTAGGATGGCCGGTGGAGTGTCCCCGTAGGGCACCGATGGTTTCTGGCAGTGAGGTCAGCGGGGCGGCAAGAGGACAGGCCAAGTGACCTTCTGGGTACGGGAGATTTGTCCTTCAGCCGTGATTGCACAAATGATACCTGGTGTGGCCAGCTGGGGGTCACCCAGTGTGCAAGAGGGGGTCACCCAACAAGCACAAGCATACCATGCAGTATAGGCCAGCAGGGGAGGGGGTCACCCTCAGTCTAAACATAATCGGACACTGTAGGTACAGTGGTGCGGCCAGCTGGGGGTCACCCAGCGTGCAAGAGGGGGTCACCCAACAAGCACAAGCATACCATGCAGTTTAGGCCAGCAGGGGAGGGGGTCACCCTCAGTCTGAACATAATCGGACACTGTAGGTACAGTGGTTAGCCGTATAATAAAGTAACCAAACATTGCCGGTCCAGCAGTGTAGACGGCAGGAGGGGGTCACCCTCATATAACCAGAACCGGGCATTGCAGATCCAGCAGTGCTGTAGGTAAGAGGGGGTCACCCTCAGTGTGGTATCAGAGGTCTGTACACCCAGCAGTGTAGTCAGCGAGGGGGGGGTCACCCTCATTATGGTTATAACGGGACCCTGTAGGTCCAGCAGAGTAGTCCACAGGAGGGGGTCACCCTCAGTATCTGCGTATTGCAGGGCACTGTAAGAACAGAAGCTCAATCAGTGGGAGGGGTACTCTCTTTTATGGGAATACCCGGACGCTGCAGGTCCAGCAGTGCAGACTGCAGGAGGGGTACCCCCTCGGTATGATAATAGCAGGACATTGCCGGAGCATTAGTATAGGAAGCAGGAGGGGGTCACCCTCAGCATTAATCTTGCAGGACGCTGTAGAGCCAGCAGGGTACTCATAGGTAGCCATGTTGCCAGAGGGAGGGGGTCACCCAGCCCACAATGGTGTCACACGTCCATTATTATGGTCCAGTAGCAGGTAGAGCCCCAGAAATATGGATGGGGGGGGGGGTTCACCCCCTAGTAATAACAGGTCTGAATGTGGGGCCAGTAGCCCCGCTGAGGGGTAGGAGGGTCCATATAGCGAGAAGCTGACTCACAGACCACTCAGGTATTATATTAGGATACACTTTTGAAGTGTATGTGTAGTGGAAAATTTAAGTCCCTTGCAGGAAGGGCAGCAAATCCTAGGCAGGGGAGCTAGGTGCTGAAAAACAGGCCATTTAATTTTTATGAGAAAAAGACTGAACCTTAGAGGAAGACTTGATTAGCATATAACACATGTGGCACATTCTTGTTAAACAAAGATTTTATTTGAGCAGTAACATGTCCCTTTAAATCTGAGATTCACATGTAATAGTAAAAAAAGTGTGACAAGTCTACTGCTAAGATAGAGAACCTAGTCACATTGCATCAGACATAGTAAGATGCAGTTGTGAGCGTGCCTGGGACAGATCCTGCTATCCAGGATCTGTTACATATGCAGCATGTGAGACAGGCACAGTAAGTAGAGGGATAGCTGAAAAACTTGGCTATCTCCCTTGATATAGGGAGAGAGGAGGGTGGCCAGCAGGCCAGTTCTTGGGTGAGACCTGGCTGTTCGCAACGCACAGAGCCCATGTGGCTCTGAAAAATGGCCGCCACGGCTCCAACAAAATGGCTGCCGTGGCTGCAAAAACAGAGCGCGGCCTACCGCGTGGTGATTGTGCGGCACTGCAAGCGGCCAGGGGCCACGGGGAGCAGGTGGGGAATAAGGGAGAAGGGTATGGGCGACAGAGCCCAGCAGGGGAACCCGGGGAGGGGAGGGGGAACAGATTACAGGCAGAGCCAAATCATCATAGCAGGGGCACCCATTCCCCATACAGCAGAGTGAGAAAACAGTATAAAGTAACCCAGAATAACAATAAATCAATGAGCAGTATACAGAATCTATCAGATAAATAGCCTAAATACAGCAACAGATGTTAACAAGTGATACAGCAGCTACATAGCATGAAGTGGTATAGGAAATAACACAAAATAAACTGCCTAGCTAAACACAGCAATAGACTGCCTAGCTAAACACAGCAATAGACTGCCTAGCTAAACACAGCAATAGACTGCCTAGCTAAACACAGCAATAGACTGCCTAGATAAACACAGCAATAGACTGCCTAGATAAATCCAGCAATAGACTGCCTAGCTAAACACAGCCATAGACTGCCTAGCTAAATCCAGCAAGAACCCTGCCTAAATAAAACCAGCAATTAAGCTGCCTAAACAAACTTAGCAAATAGACTGATTAAATAGACTGTTTAAATAAACAAGCAGCATGTAGGATAAAACAACAACCAAGAGCAGAGACAACTCTGAGTTGGTGAGTGCTCACCTGGAGGCAGCAGCAAAGAAAGAGGAAGTGGAAGAGCCTGCTTAGGGGTTTTATACTACTGTTGCTTTGTTCTGATTGGTTGTTTTGAAAAGTTCTGTTAACTGTTTCTTTGCTGCTGGAGGTTTCAGTAAAGAAGGTAAAGCAAATATGAAGCCTCCTGTCCTGCCATAAAATTATGGTGTATCTATTCGGTTGTTACTACACTCTATGTAGCTCTTTCGGCAGCTACACTAACTCACGTATTAAACACGAATTCAGCCAGTACTCCATGGGGATTTCGCCCCTACTGGTTACAAATGTTATTGCAGTAAATCTAATTTTTGAATAGGAATGTTGTTAAACAAAGTTGATGGGTCCTGATTTCCTGAATTTGTTTCCCTCCCCAGAGTCATCCCAGTGGTTCGTACTGGGAATTGTGAATTCTGTCACTGGTATCAATTTTCTTATAGGTTGGTTGTTGTTTAAATTATGTTTTATGAAATCCAATGATACACATTACATTAGTTAAGCATGTATTTTACTTTTTTAGGTTGTTTGCCTTCAAACGGTAGCTTTTACAAGCATGAAAAACAGTTGTCAATTTTGTAACTCTTTTGTGACTCTGCAATGTCGGGTAGGTTCCTTGTTTTTTAGGAACCACGATCTGGCCATAACACTACGTTTAATCACACGTTCATATATCAAATCTCATGTCCAACAGGTAATCGAGACTCACATATCAGGTACGCCAGAACCCAATTTTTCCTCTACCATGTTCTGAGGGGTACTGGTCCTAGGTTATATGACCCAACTAGGTAAAAGTTTCTGGTCTTAATCCATAGGCTAGTGGTCCCGTGAGACCAACACCCCTCTCCTCATACTCAGAGGAATACGCCCCTCGGGCCAAATCATAGCTAGCCGTCTCGCATTGTCGCATAGAGAGGGCCTCACCTGTCACTCCCAATCTATTTTATGCTTTAAATACCACCGAGAGGCCAACACCCCGCCACAACGTTCGGTGGCCTCATACATTCCCCTCGGGCCCATGCATAGGTAGCGCCTCTCAAGCCGCTTGGCAATTAGTAGGGACTCATCTGTCACCATCCATAAGTATAATTGTTTCGCCGCTTGGCATTTAGCTAGCCTTACCAGTACCCACCCAAATCAAACATTACAGAGTGATTGATTAAAGCTTACTTATATTTTTCAGTTATGTCTAATAATCCTGATATCCCCGAGGAACTCTCGCTACCCTGCACTCCCGCTAGGCCTGTTACCCCTGTTCCTGGAACAGTCCTGCTTCTCTCAGATCATGGACCATCCCACGTCTCACGGCAGAACTTAAAAGACGCTGCATCCCTTTCCCAGCTACTGCTAGGAAAGACGAGTTGTTCAGACTTTTGAATACGGCCACTGACAACTCTGATGCAGGGGAAGGCCCTAGTGGCACACAATTGCCAACATTTCACGCCATGATGACTTCGCTCATGTCATCCATCAGCACAATTAATGACAGGCTGGATAAATTGGAAACAAGTGGTACTAAACAGACCGCTATGAACCCAATTGCTGCTAGTGACCCTCTGGCTGACATGACTGGTAATTCTTTGGAATCAGGGTCTCTTAGCGAAGATATTAATCCCTCACACATGGTCCCATCTCACCTTAAAAAGGACATTCTGGAAGGCAAGGATGTCAACCTGGTGTCATTGCTTATAGCCTCCCAGGATGTCCTAGAGAATAGGACTTTTGCATATGGGGATATATCTGTCGTACTAAGGTCTAGAGACCCGAGACTAAACAAAACTGTCAATCCCTGAATTTGTACTGGGTTTTGGGATTTATAGGGATGTGTACTGCTCAGTATACCCAGGGAAAAGAGCAGAGCTAGATGCATACATGAACAAGATGGTGGACCTGGGGCACAAATACGGTGGTACCGCTTTTTACGATTACCACCGTTCCTTTTCTGCAAAGGTGGCTGCAGCTCTGGCTCAGTTCAATTTAAGCATTAATTGGAGCAAATTGGACACAGTTATTCTGCAGGCATTTTGCAGGCCTCAGGCGTGTGCAGTATGCGCATCTACAGCACACCACACTAATCTCTGCCCAAACACAGCTGACATCGAACAAAACCAATCTACCCCTAACTTTCCTACAGCTACTAAGGGATTAAAAGACAAGCTGGGGAGAGACATTGTATTCCTGGGTAAATCTCAGATATGCAATAATTTCAATGCGGGCAATTGTGGTTTCAGTTCATGTAGACTGATGAAGGTGTGTTCACACTGTTTTAGAGCCCATGCCAAAACTATGTGCCCAAATAAAGCATTCCCAAAACCGTATCACACGTGTGTGAACGTCACTTTATTGACATCACTTTTACAGCCACATCCTTCACGTCATTTCACTGAATATATTATTTTGGGCATGACTGAGGGTTTTCACACCAGGTTGGTCCATTTACCCTCCGGTACACTGGAATGCGACAACCTACAGTCCACATTAGACGATCCACAGTTGGTAAATACACTTATCTCAACTGAGTTGGAACAAGGGTTTCTGTTGGGACCATTCTTTTCCCCACCCTTCACGTCCTGGAGAACCAATCCTATAGGGGTGGTCACAGGGAAGACCTCACTTAAACCCAGACTGATAATTGATTTATCAGCACCACACTCCTCCACTATCCCCAGCCTAAACTCTCTAATACCTTCTGAAGAATTTTCACTGCACTACGCCATACCATAGGGGCCATTATACAAGCAGGTACGGGAGCATGGCTGAGTAAAACAGACGTGGTAAACGCCTTTAAGCTACTACCCATACATCCTTCCCTGTGGCATCTACACGGTATTAAATGGCAAGGGAGGTATTATTTTTTCACCCGACTAACTTTTGGCTCCAAAAGCATTCCACGTATTTTTGACACGTTTGCAGAGGCTCTATGTTGGCTCTTACTAAATGTGTGCAAGTGCCCTTCGGTTATCCACTATCTGGACGATTTCCTCTTGATTGAGAATAACACTCTTCCACCTAGTAGTTTGAATCACTTATTGGCACTGTTTGAATCTCTTAACATTCCTGTCTCTCCTCACCTACATGCAATTTTTGGGCATACAACTACACACGATAAACATGCAGGCCAGTCTACCTCAGGACAAGATTGAGCGTACCCTGGCAAGTATTGAACATTACCTGCTACAAGGTCATTGCAATCGGAAAGAACTCCAATCACTACTTGGATCGCTCAATTTTGCCATGAAGATCATACCCCAAGGTAGATCTTTTATATCCCACCTGTTATCCTTGTTTCCACTGTTTTCTTCGGACACTTCACATATCACATTAGATGTACACGCATGTGGCGGGTCTTTCTCACCTCTTGGAACGGGCGAACCATGTTTATACCACCTCCCTCCGACACATCACCTACATTATGGACAGATGCCGCAGCTAACACAGGTTTTGCCGCCATCTGGGGTGACCAATGGCTTTGGGGCCCTTGGCCTACCGAAGTCAAATCACTACCCAAATATTCTGACACCTTGGCTTTATTTGAGTTGTACCCAATCGTAGTGGCAGCCATTGCTTGGGGACCATATTGGTCTGGCCACATGGTCAGGTGCTACTCTGATAACCTGGCTACATGCCACATTGTGGATAAAGGCCGTTCGGCATCACTGGTCATTATGAGACTGCTAAGGTGTCTCACATGGGTAGCAGCCACTTGTCAATTCTTTATAACATGCATACACATCCCTGGGGACACAAACACCGCTGCTGATCACTTGTCTCGGTTTCGTTTCCAGGCTTGGATTAAAGACCTTGTTAGATCACGCCCGTCACATTTCTCATATAGCACTCTCAGTAAACACAAGGGACACTTATGATAGGGCCTTTCACGTATTCAAAAAAAAAAAAATGTATCACCGAGTTTCACATTCACGACATGTTTGCATTAGAGACAATTTTGGGGTTTACATCTTTTTGCCACATTAACCTTAACCCCTTAAGGACCAAACTTCTGGAATAAAAGGGAATCATGACATGTCACACATGTCATGTGTCCTTAAGGGGTTAAACTATCCTTTAATACTATTAAACTGTACCTTACCGGCATCCAACACCATATGCTCATCCAACAACCTAACAGTACTGCTTTTCTAACCTCATACCAAATTAAAACATTACTTAAAGGCATTAAAAAATTAGATACACATGTTCCCTCACAAAGACTACCTAAAGACAACAACATCTTCCACTCTCTATCCAACCTATTAGATTAATCTCCTTTCGAACCCATGACAAATAGCACTATCAAAACAGCACTATATCTTGCCTTTTATGGGTTCCTCCGGCCTAGCGAATTCACAACCACAACCATCACTGCACCCGACTACCGTAGAACCAATGATCTACAGAAACATACTGACCATTATATTCTCTCTCTAAGACAATCCAAAACCAGCACCGACGGACACAGTATTCAAATACCACTGTACCCTACTCACAATATATGGTGCCCAGTTAAAGTGTTAGACACTTATTCACTTTTAGTCCAAAAACAACCTCAACAACCTTTGTTTGAACTGCATGGACACACTCTGACCACAGCTAAATTCATGCTGTACATAAGACTTCTGTTGACCAGGCTCGGCCTAAACCCCAATCAATTTTCAGGTCACTTTCTGTATAGGAGCAGCATCTTCCGCATCCGCTAACCACATCCCCGCTCATATTATTAAGGCCATGGAAATCCTCCGCCTACACACTCTACATACCCAATCCTCCGCCTACACACTCTACATACCCAATAAGCTTTTTGTGACTTATCTCAATAAACGAAGTTGGTTCACAAATTATGTTTTCTGGTTATTTTCTTTTTGCCCACTTTTATTATAGGCCTACTGCTTTGTCGGTTCCGGCACACCACAACCGACTGATGCATACTCATGGTTGTTATGATTGTATTGTGCTAAGATTTCTCTGTTTGGCTATATTGCCCCGACTACAAATTTGAAGGCTTGGCCTGGAGTTGTGGGATGGGCTTGGTTCTCCTTTAAAAGGGCTGCCAATCCACTCCCACCTTACAGTTGCTGGTCTGGCGAGTCACCCCTCCCACCGCTCCCTCTACTTATAACACCCTCTAAGGTGGGCCCACTTTTATTACAGGCCTACTGCTTTGTCGGTTCCGGCACACCACAACCGACTGGTGCATACTCATGGATGTTATGATTTCTCTGTTCGGCTAGATTGCCCCGACTACAAATTTATATTATATATATATATATATATATACACATACATACACACATACATATACATATATATCAATCATCTAGGGTGGCAAGACATAGCCTTACATATTACACGCGACAATATATGGCGCAATGACTTATGGGGCTGACATACATTTTTTTTTCCAGGGCTGCTTTGGAATCCCCAGTCCGGCCCTGGATGTCACCATGTTGTGTCTAGCTCTGTGAGTCGTATCTCTGTATTTTACTCAACTCTGCATGGTGTGTGTGTATATATCTGTAGTACCCAGCTCTGTGATTTCAATGGGTATCTTTGTTCTGCCAGCTCTGTTTATTGCATGGGTCTCTCCTTGTCGTACTGGGTTTCCTGTATTGTATGTGCACCTATGTATTGTCCCTGGTTCTGTGTATTGTATGAATATCTATGTATTATATTCCGTTCTTTTTATTGATTACGTACCTCTGTATTGTACCAAGCTTGAGTATTGCATGGATATCTTTATATTACAACTAGCTCAGAGAACTGTATATTAAATTGTGTATTGAGAAGAGACTGCCATTAGGTGTTGAGTACATGAGGAAAAGTGGACAGATGCAACACATCAGAAGATGTTGGATAGACAGTTAATGGGTGGAATCAAATTCTGGGGAAGGAGACCTGTGCCCCACCATGTCACCAGCCACCACTGGTACATGGGGAGTTGGTAAAGTCTGTTGCATGAAACTAGTGTATATTCTACTTTGGTTTAATGAAACTGGTCACCTTGCAGCTAGTAATGCTCAGTCATTGATGTAATGTGTGCTTTAACATAAGGGGGATATTCAAATTCTGAAAAACCCCAGGTAGGTTCAATTAATATGTGCTTAAAATGAGAAATTCTGACTGCTACCAAAAGTGTATCATATCACAAAAAATGAGAATAGCCTCCTCTTCACTAGATGATATCAAGTCTAATCTTGACACTCTGTTGTATATATTTCATTTAGATTAGATTTTCAATTAGATTTTTAACGTTGGTCTAATTAACAGTTCAGTCTACTAGCAGGATCTAAACATTTTGTTGCTTTCAGAAAATGCTTTGTGTGTAGTAAAGACTGGGGTGTGGATTATCATGATCAGTTTAACCATAACTCGCGAAAAAGTGCCCATAGAGACATTGAGAACACGTTGGCCCTCATTAGGGTGTGTCTGGGCAAACCTGCAATGACCTTGTGCCTGCCTATGAATTAAACTTTCATGCTTTTTTTTTTTTTTTTTAATAGGATCTAATTAATTAACAAAACATTTAGTTTAATAAAGTGTTTTTGGTGTATGCATCATGTTTTACTGCTCATTTGTCTGCCATTCAAGAGTTAAGCAACTTTGTTTGTGCAGCCCTATCCACCCCTCCTCTAGCTGTGACTCACATAGCCTTCCTACATACTTTCTGAAAAAAGGACTAACTTTTAACCCCTTAAGGGCACATGACATGTGTGACATGTCATGATTCCCTTTTATTCCAGAAGTTTGGTCCTTAAGGGGTTAAACTTCCTTTATTGCACAGTTTGCTTAATTTAGAAGTTCTTATCTCCTGATCCGTCAGTTGCCTGCTAGAGACTGCAGCAGCCTCCTGTATATGATATTTTAAACAACAGAGCAGGACACAAGAACATTTAAAGGAAACACTCTGTGCTTCAAGATTGTTTGAATATCAAACTTTTTTTGCCAAAGGACATTGCATAAGTCGCAGCTATGGGAGGTGTGCTAAGGGCTGCATAAACAAAGTGATATAACTCAAACTGCAGAAAATAAATCACTCCTGCTACAGGCACATCATATATACACCCACACTGCTTCATTAAGCTAAAGCTGTTTTGGTGTGGATTGTGTCCCATTAGGTCAAGAAGATGCAGTAGAAAATATTAACATATTTGGAGGGAAAATATGCCTGGAATATTTCTTGTTTATTTACTATTTATACAATATACACATCTATTTTCAGTGCATTAGTTGTGTCAGTAAAAAAGGTTTGTATTCCCTAACCTAAGTTTTAGTGAATTGAAAACTGAATTGCAAACTATGGGCAAAATAGCTGATTTGAAAATATGTAATCTCACTCAGCTCAGAGCTTGGCTGCTTCAGGCTAAATTTTGCAATTTTTTTGTTGTTGTTATTGTTGTTTAGGGAATAATCCCCACAGGTTTAGCATTTATATCAAGGAAGATACTTTTAAAATAGAAAAAGGACAGAGTATATAGGGTATTGAAATAATTCAAATCCCTAATCTCTGTAAAGGTTACAGGAGGTATAGGGGGCGTAACCCCTGCAAATTATGAGAAAAAGGAGAAAAAATGAACTGGAAGACCACCAAAGTCAAAGACAGAGGTGGAAAACCTATTCATTCATAGATCTATACCTCCCAAAAAAGTAAGTGTACTATATGTAACGGGTTCCAAAACCTTTAATGAAAAATGACATATATATTGAAATTATACATAACTGGCTAAAAAGTTGGCCAGAAAGAGTTCCCGTAGGGGATATTAGTGAGTGAAATAAATATTCACAATTGCTAACTAGAGTATAACCCTAATGTAAGTTGTATAAATTACCTGGTATAAGGAACGCTATTATAAAGGAAAAAACAGAAAGAAAGTAATATCTGTACAGAGTGAGCCTTATCCAGGATTTAGTATCAAAGTAGAGAGGAAAAAGGAGGAGGGGGATAAAGTTTAAATAAAGGTATAACCTGGTAGAGATAGTATCCCTACTTGAAATGGGACAGCTGCAACAACATGCAAAAAATGTATATTATTGACAACAAAAAATGGGTGATATAAGTGTTAGGCTCATAACCAAAAACTGTTTGTTGCCAGGAACAAAAAAATGCCCCACTTATATGTCCTCACTTGCCCTAAGCTGCTAGCTGTCTCCCAAAATACAGGGAAAAATAAATTAACTACCTGCTGCTTCGAGGCAGCCTAAAGATTGTCCCTATAGTCCCCACTCCTATGAGTCTAATGAGACTCTACACCATCATAGAAAAAAATCAAACAAAAGGGATGTCTAGTTAGAAGAAAAAAGAAAATAATAAAAAAAGGCACACAAAACAAAAAACTCAAAATAAATGCATCGGCATTCTAAAATTGCTCGACGCGCGTTTCGGCGTATCTAACCGCCTTTGTCAAGAGCTGAAAAGTGTCTGTGTAGATGTCCGTGTTAAAAAGGTAAGTAGGTCCCGCCCCTCAAGGCAAACTGCCAATTGCCATCCCGGACGTCACCATTACCGGGTTTGTAACATTGGTTACTCCCAGTGATTCCCATTAACCAATAGGCGGCCCTGGAGGAAGGGGGCGTGGTCACGTTCCGACCCACGTGGGATACATAGTAAGTACCGTAGGTCTGTAAGTTTGAAACCGCCCCTACAAAATATGCCACAAATTGGTCTCTCACTTATCAGGTGAGAGACATAGGAGGCGTATTAAGTTCTATTTACATTTACATAGTAATCCGATCGGTACGGGCAGGGGGCGTGGTCAAGCTCCGACCCACCTAAGATACATAGTAAGTGTCGTGGGTCTGTGGGCTTAAGACCGCCCCTTCAATATATGCCGCGTATTGGTCTCTCTTATCAAGTGGGAGGCACAGGGGGCGTATTCAGGTACTGTTTACATAGTGATCCGGTCAAGTGATCATTGTGAAAAAGAAGATTATATTGTAATAGATAAATAAACATAACCAATCAACAATATTGTTACTAAACAAAGCTTTATTCTAAACATAAATATAAAAAGGAGACAGGGAAATTTGTCCCGATTGTGGGGCAGCGCTAAATAAAATATTATAGTCCTTCCCAGATTAGTGTTCATACTTATTGGGAATATAGACCATAGCCACCAAGCTAAAGACAATATGTCTCCATATATTTGAATTGTTGTATTAAAGTGAGATATCATAGCAGAAGAAACAAGTAAGAATGTTATGTGGCTATGTAGGAGATGTAAACAATAATCACAGTTAAATATATTCACTGTATAAACACTGTATAAACGGTGAGAGACCAATTTGTGGCATATTTTGTAGGGGCGGTTTCAAACTTACAGACCTACGGTACTTACTATGTATCCCACGTGGGTCGGAACGTGACCACGCCCCCTTCCTCCAGGGCCGCCTATTGGTTAATGGGAATCACTGGGAGTAACCAATGTTACAAACCCGGTAATGGTGACGTCCGGGATGGCAATTGGCAGTTTGCCTTGAGGGGCGGGACCTACTTACCTTTTTAACACGGACATCTACACAGACACTTTTCAGCTCTTGACAAAGGCGGTTAGATACGCCGAAACGCGCGTCGAGCAATTTTAGAATGCCGATGCATTTATTTTGAGTTTTTTGTTTTGTGTGCTTTTTTTATTATTTTCTTTTTTCTTCTAACTAGACATCCCTTTTGTTTGATTTTTTTCTATGATGGTGTAGAGTCTCATTAGACTCATAGGAGTGGGGACTATAGGGACAATCTTTAGGCTGCCTCGAAGCAGCAGGTAGTTAATTTATTTTTCCCTGTATTTTGGGAGACAGCTAGCAGCTTAGGGCAAGTGAGGACATATAAGTGGGGCATTTTTTTGTTCCTGGCAACAAACAGCTTTTGGTTATGAGCCTAACACTTATATCACCCATTTTTTGTTGTCAATAATATACATTTTTTGCATGTTGTTGCAGCTGTCCCATTTCAAGTAGGGATACTATCACTACCAGGTTATACCTTTATTTAAACTTTATCCCCCTCCTCCTTTTTCCTCTCTACTTTGATACTAAATCCTGGATAAGGCTCACTCTGTACAGATATTACTTTCTTTCTGTTTTTTCCTTTATAATAGCGTTCCTTATACCAGGTATTTTATACAACTTACATTAGGGTTATACTCTAGTTAGCAATTGTGAATATTTATTTCACTCACTAATATCCCCTACGGGAACTCTTTCTGGCCAACTTTTTAGCCAGTTACATATATATGTCATTTTTCATTAAAGGTTTTGGAACCCGTTACATATAGTACACTTACTTTTTTGGGAGGTATAGATCTATGAATGAATAGGTTTTCCACCTCTGTCTTTGACTTTGGTGGTCTTCCAGTTCATTTTTTCTCCTTTTTCTCATACTTTTAAAATACATAATGTCAATATAGTTTACCATTTAATTTGACGAACACAATTTAACCACAAGTTTGGTCAAACACTGCCACCTACTGTCATTAGTGCAGATTCTGTTTAGTTTACTGCGTGTATTTTACAATGATTAGCCAACGTCTAAAGTATAAATAGTGCGGAGCCGGGAATGTGCTTATCAAATATTTACCGAAAAAATTATTTAAAAATACACACACAAAAACAAAAAACAAACAAAGCAGTAGACGTTAGGCCAAAATACCACAATTTACACACACAAAAAAAAAAAAAAAAATAAAACTGGACCAGACTGATTTTATGTTTCTCTAATGTTGGTAGTTTGGCATACATTTTGTAAATCATTGTTTAACTCCGTATTTAGTGAACAAATCCCCATTTCCTATAAATTATTATAATGTTTATTCCTTGTAGTTTTTATTTGGACCATAGTTCTTACAAAAACAATCTTTAGAACCCCCGGGCACTATTTGTATTATTGACTTTGGCACCTTGACTGGACTTTGTCTTGATGAAATGATTTGTAACCAAATATGATGATTAAATCATATAATCCAGGAATTATGTTTATTGTTACTCTAATTTGTTTACAAAGTAGAATGGCCACTATAATTGTTCATTAGTTTCATAATATACAATATGTCTAGAGGAGGTAAACCTTGCTCTGAACAAAACATAATGTCTGCTATTCAGAGACAGACTAAACAGGTATTGGGTTAGTCATTCATGAGTCAGATTGATGTACAGGATGATCCTGAAGTCATCAGTATAATTGCAGTAGAACATATGTTCTCACATCACAACATCCCCATTCAAGTTATAAATAATATACACAAGTAATAAGTACTGTACCATTAAACTAATTTCTTAATATAGATGAAGAAATTGGTTGTCACATGTGCAAAAGTGTTTGGATTTTAACAGGAACCTATTATTTGTGTGGTTTCCAGACACATATTCATGTTGATTCATAAACGTATCATAATCTGGAAAGCGGTGCAAGTTTGTAAAACTGGAATAATTTACCAACAGAATGTGCATGTTGATTCCGCTGATTTCCTCACTTTTAGAACTTTGTGAGGGAGATTTATAAAGAAAAGACAGTGTATTTTAGGTGCAAAGTGCTAAATGTTGTGAGACATTCTATTGGTTCAATGGCAGCTGCTCATGACTTAGCACTTTGTTCCAGAAAATAGCACTTGTTTTCGCCTTGATAAAGCTCCAATTGTACCACTTTTCTGATTACCCCTTTACAGATCTCTCCTATTGTATGCATTCTCCTATTAGGTTTTTTTCCATTCACAGCATGCTTTTTCGTGAACCAGAAATTAAGTCCTAGAATGAAGTCAGAAAAACAAATGAAAACACAAACATGTTCGTAGCAATCATTTCACAATTTACCTTCTCAGTCTGAAAGCTCATAGGAATTCCATATCTGCAGTAAGTTACAAAATGTTCACAGTTGTCCCAAAGCAAGCTGTACGATGTGGCCCCCACCAGTTTTTCAGCTCTCAGGGCTACGTCTTCATTAGAATAAGGTTTTGTGTTGTAGCTGTTGTCCATGTGGTTTACTATTATCCTTCCACCATATGCGAAATCCTGCACAGTGTCCACTCTAACACTGGCTACCTTTGCAAGAACTCCCAGAATCAGCCTTTTGTTGGTCACCACTTTCTCAGTCAAACATGCATTGTCTGACAGTGCTGGGAGGATATCTGGCATCAAATGAGCTACCTTGTTATTTCCCAAATAGATCCCATAGTGAATAAACAAAGTCCTAGGAACCTCCAGTAAATCTCCTCTTTTAAAATAAGACACATTATGGTTATCAACAGTTCCTCCATTATCTTCTGGAATACCAAACAGTTTAAAGTTGACAAGCAAAGATATCTTATCAAGGAAAATCAGCAACAAGTCTAACAGTGAACTTTTCATTTTCTTCTACTTTAAAGCTGCAATGTGCCACTGCTGCTCCAATTGAATCTAGAAGAGTGAGCCTTTGTGCTACTTATTTGTAGAATATTTATAAGGTTTGTGTATTATGAAGTGACATCACAGCACAAAGGCTATGATTGGCTGACAGGAATTTGGCAGTGGACAAACTCTGTCATCCTGCAGTAGCAGTTCTACAATATCACAAAACTGTCCCATTAATGTGCTTAGCAGGCACTCCCTAATTTAACCCAAGGAGGATTTTCCACAGAGGGTAAGAGAGTGATTCATGAATGCAGCTTTTCAAACATTTATTTAAACAGACCTTGAGGGCTTAAATCACTTTTTCCCCACTTCCTTTCCTTATTTTCTTGGTAAATATTTAATTCACATTTGGAACACAGGAGGTACAATACAGGATCTCATTTTCATTTCACTTCTACTTTCTCTAAATTTTAACGAGCAGATCGTGTTTTCAAATGCCTCTGTGGATGACGGGTAACATCACACTGTGCATTATATTCCGTATGGTGAACTGTGTGACTGATTCTGCACTGCTAGGCCCCTAATCTTGTCTGTTTAATTAATTAGGCAGAGTAATGCAATGCTTAATTATAAAATATATCACATAGAAAAACACATGCGATATTTGCATACTTGTTAGAGATATTGCTTTTACCTAAATCAGAACAAAAATAAACCAGAGGAGATATGTGACTGCCCTTCCACATTACAATACAAATGGAAGTTTAACTAACGGGGCTCTTTCCAGCCAATGTAATAATTTTTTATTACAGAACGTTACAAAAACAGACAAATGCTCTGTCACATAAAGTGTTAAATACTGCTTAAATATACTTCCTTGACATATAATGTGAAGTAAAAGCACAAGCATTTGTCAGCAGAACTTAAATCTAAATACACAGCCTTAAGATTCAAAAACAACCACCCAGGAAAAGGGGGTGTATATATACAGACAGATACAGGGGTGGACTGACAAATCAGAGGGCCCTTAGGCAACAGAAGATTAAGGGCCCTCGTCTGGTACAAGGATTTTTGTCTGCTACTACCACTCTTCCCCTTCTTTGTGCGGTTCTCATACAGATATGAGCACTGTGCCCAGCAACCAGAATCACTGTGTGAAAGCCGCACAGTTATGGTTCCCACAGCCGCAGGGCCCAATTTACTTTTAAGGGGTTAATAAAAAAAAAAAAAAAATAGGGCGTCTGGGCCAACAAGGGATTACTGCCAGAATCGTCACTTGCTCTTGAAGGATCCTCCTCAAAAGGGGAAAAATCAGGGGAGTTGGGGGGGAAAACATACCCCAGATGGAACTTCCACTCCCAACAAAGAGCATACTGGTCCTCCGCCAAAAGGTCAAAGTAACGCGAGAAGAACCTTTCCACTTTGAGATTCTTTGCTGTAGCCATCAGATCTACTAGAGGAAGGCCCCACTTCTGGACTATGCGCTCGAACGCCTGAGGAGATAATGCCCATTGTGTGGGGTCCAGAGTTACTCTGCAACTTGATTGTTCTTGCCCGGGAGGTACACTGCCTTGATCCCCTTCAAATTCTTTTCTGCCCAGGACATCAAGGGAGTCAAAACCTTCATTAAAAGTTTGCTCTTTGTACCCCCCCGGTGGTTGATGTAGGCCACCGCGGAAGTATTGTCTATCCTTACCTTACCCAGCTTTGCTTCAGTGAAGAAAAGTGGAAAAGGGCCTGAAAGACTGCTTGTAACGCCAAAATTGATTGAGGATACCCTGGTTTTTCCACCGACCTTGGACATGAAGGTTCAGATGTGCTCCCAAACCCGATTGACAAGCATCCGTAGTTAAGGTGACCCAAGCAGCGGCGTACATACCGCGGTCGCAGGGGTCGCAGCTGCGACCGGGCCCGGCACTCCAGGGGGCCCAGCCGCCCTGCGACCGGGTACCAGGCCTGCTGCCACATTTCCTGGGGCCGCATATGGAGGGGTCCATCGGGTGGCTCTGACAGCATGGGCAACGCGAAGGACCCCTCCATATGTGGCCCCAGAAAATATGGATTGTGAGGGGCAATGTGATGACATCAAAGCTGGGAGGAAGGAGGTGGAAGTCAGAGTGAGAACTCTGACACCCATCAGGCTGAGCCACCATTGGACCCCAGGGAAAGTAACAAGGTAGGAAACATTTTGTGTATGTGTGTGTGTCTCTCTCTGTGTGTGTGTGTGTCTCTGTATGCAGTGGCGTACACACAATCCATGGGGCCCTGTATGTATGCGTGTGTCTATGTATGTGTGTGTCTGCCGGTGTCTATGTATGTATGTGTCCTTGTGTATGTGTGTGTGTGTGTGTGTGTCTGTATGTATGTCTGTTGAGGGATGCGTGTGTGTCTCTGTGTGTATGTATTTATGTATGTGTCAGGAGGGATGGGGGGGCATGGATAGGGGGAGAGAGGGGCCCCATGCATTGTGTGTACGCCATTGGACCCAACGTATATTGTTCAGAGGGAATCCTGATTATAAATTCTGAGCAATCAATCACCATGATAACTCCTTTTTGATCTCTGACGACAAAAAAATAAATTTAAAAAAATTGCTTGGTTCAGGTCTTTGTTTGCAAACTGGGATAAAAATCCTTCTTGAGGAATCCTCATATGCCATTGGGCCCACCTTGCAAGGCCTATTGTAGAGGACAAGCTTCCCTGAAGACTCATGAATTCTCTGGCTGGAATGGAGTTGAGGGAAAGAAGGTGAAGAATATTTGACTGGATACGATGCCCTCTGTCCAAGGATAGGGAGATTTGTGACTGAATTGTGTTGAATCTCACACCTAAGTATACCATAATCTGAGAAGGAGACAGCTGACTCTTCTTGAAAATTATTATCCATCCAAAATTTTAAAGCAGAAGGAGAACTCTATCTCAATGAAGAAGAAGCTGATCCCTGTTGTAGGAGAGGATAAAGATGTCGTCGAGATAATGGAATATCGATATGCCTTCCATACGCGTGTGAGCTATTAATGAAACAAGGATCTTTGAGAAAGTTCTGGGAGCAGTGCTCAAACCAAAAGGTGAGAGCATGAAATTAGAAATGCTGGTGGTGAATTGCAGACCTCAGGAACTTCTGGTGTGGTGGACCAATCAGAATGTGAAAATATGCATCTCAAAAGGTATATGGAGATTAATCGGTCCCCTGGGGACACGGCATTGATAATGGAACTTAAAGATTCCATCTCGAATTTTCTCAAACACAGATCTGCGTTTAACTTGTGAAGGCCCAAAATCGGTCTCCATTCTCCCGATGCCTTTGGAGTAAGGAATAGTCTGGAATAGACTCCCAATCCTCTTTCTTTTACCGGAACAGGACAAAATTACTCCTTCCACTGAAAGGGAAATTACAAAAGAATGAATGGCTGCTGCTTTCTCTGGTTCTAGAGGTATGTTTGTAGACACGAATGGGGTGTGAGGGATAGAGAAGTCCACACTTTAGGATCTTCAGCACCCACTTGTCTTGTATTGTTTGAACCCAGACCTCAAAGAAGTTTAGAAGTCTTCCTCCCACTCCTAAGGGCTGAACTGGCATTCCATCGGAATTGTTTTGACTGTCTGGTACTGCCACCGCAAGTTTTGGAGGATGAATATCCACCTTTCCAAGATTGGAATCTGGAGAATTCTCTACTAGGCCTGTATCATCTAAATTCCTTACCCCGAAAGGAGGGTCTGCCCTGTGGAAAAGATCTTCAGTCTATCTTGATGAAAGAAAGTTTTACACCCATACACTGCCCTTTTAATACATTCATCTAGATATTTGCCAAAAAGCATATCCCCACCCAATTACATAGCCAAAGAGCACGTCTTGATGGTACTGACAGGACCACGCTGTGAAGAAAATAGACTTTTGACATTTTCTTCTTTGTTCTGTATTTTTCCTGTTTATTACATGTATATTGCATAGATTGGTTCGGTAGTTTGAAACTACCAAACAGGACCCCCCTCCTGGCTCATTAACTACAAAGGAACCATCTATTAAGTGCTCCCTGGGCGGCCGCTGTTCGTATAGCTGAACGCCACATGGAATAAAAGACGGCGGCCATCTTGTTCGCACGAGGAGAGTCAGCGGGACTTGGTCATCGAGTGTCTGGAACTAAAATCGCACACTCGACCTCCCGAACCATCGCTGAAACTACCGAACGCCGGCTTCCTTTACTTCCGAACAGCCAGGAGAGCGCCATTTGGTAGTTCTGTGCAAACCGACAAGGGGAGCAATCGCTCCTATGAGCCAGGAAGATCCATTCGAGACTTTGTTCGGTTTTGTACCCGTTTCAGAACTGACTGACCGCACATGCTGAATTCATGGGACTGTTTTGGGCAGGAGCCGCGTGTGTGGTCGGTAAAAGGTACCCTCCATACTTTTTAAGAAACACTGAACCGATCTGGGTGAAATTTGGATATGTTTGTCCCCCAGATCAGGGCTATCAGGGGCAGTGGCAGATCCAGAGCCTGATCTCGGGAGGGGCACTTGTAGATTATTTAAAGAAATAATCCAGACACAATAACCACTACAGCTCAGTGTAGTGGTTATGGTGTCAATAGTGCCGGACCCCCTCCCACAGTAAGTAGTCAAACCGTTTAAGAACAGTTTGACAACTTACCTGAGATCTGCTGGGAAATGGGGCTGTAGTAGGGCATAGGAGCAGTGGTGTGTGTGAGTGGTGCAATGTGTAAGGGGTGCAGTGTGTGTGTGAAGGTTGTAGTGTGTGAGTGAGGGCGGCAGTGTATGTCAGGGATGCAGTGTATTTGTGGGACAGTATGTGTGTGTAACAGTTGCAGTGTGTGTGTATGGGGGCAGTGTGTGTGTATGGGGGGGCAGTTTGTGTGTATAGTTTGTGTGTATTTGTGTGTATGTGGGGGCAGTTTGTGTGTATGTGGGGGCAGTTTGTGTGTATGGGGGCAGTTGTGTGAATGGGGGGCAGTATTGGGGGCAATGTATGTGTGTGTGGCCTTTTTTTTTTTATAATATA